AAAACTAATTCCTACCGTATTGAAAATGTTTAAATTAGGTAAGTTAATGAGTCCCGAGGGCTCCTATGACCGTATGCAGTTGCGAGCTCCGTAAAACACTTACCAAAACAAAACAAACAAAGAGGTCCAAAGGAAGTTCGATAACCAATAATAATTCGGGAATTTAAGTGTATCGAGTATTTCCATCTTTTTGTAAGCATGTTTTATTTCACCCCACTTTCTGGGATGGCTCTGTCACTGTCAAGCAAAACCAAAGGAGCCCACTTTTTAAAAGTTATTATGACCTACTGCGATGAAACGTAGAGTAGAATTTGTCTAAGACAGTGACCCATTGCCGAGGAGAAAAGTGTTTGTCTTAGATATGTGGACATCTTGAATCAGAAAATGACTGTAGAAATTATTTTTTTTTAAAGTTTAAAATGTCGTTTTTACAGGTGATTATCTTGAACAGCTGGTCGCTAGAAAAGATTCAACACTATAATATTTGGGTTGATTAAAGAGTTTAAAAAAATACATACTTTGAGTTTTTGCTCTCCATCTTCACCACATGACCAAGAACACAGCGTTGACAATATGATGGCCAACCTGTGTCCTTTCTGTCACCCTCGAATATGCGAAGGGGTTTGTCTCCTTAAGAATTTAATGAAAGAGATTTAGTCTTTAACTTCTGCAGTGACAGAAAGTATGAGAATATTATCATAATACTATGAATGCGAGTGGCTTTTTATCTTTAGTTATGTGATAGGAGATTACTGAGCATAATATAAATGTGTACGTGTGTGTGTGTGTCTGTGCGTGTATGTGTGTGTGCGTGTGCGTGTGCGTGTGCGTGTGCGTTTGTATGTGCGTGTGTGCCCACGTCTGTCTGTGTATGTGTATGTGTGTATGTAAGCATGTGTGTATGTACCGGCTCGCATGTTTGCATGTCTGCATGAACATGTCTACTTGTCTGTCTGAGTCCTTCGCCCATCTGTCAGGCGACACAAATTCCAGCAGTAAGCAGACACTCTGACCACTAAGTAGCCCCGGCCTACGACAGCCCTAGTCGCAACTCCAGAATTAAAAAGTTCTATTTGACATTTAGGGCCGTTTTGAGTTACTAAGACCAAGTGGTCAAAAACCCAAATGTTCTATCTACTCCATCAAAATTGCAAGATTTTTTAGAGTCGTTATCAAGATGTTCAAAAAATTGCATTTCGAAAAATCTTGGCATGTCGAGAATCTCAAACATTTGGCGTCAAATTTCTCAGAACTAGGTATGGGGCAGATAGAGCTTTGTAGTTCTGAGGTAGCGTAGTCACAATGGGTGTGTCAGAAGCCATCAGAATGTCCACCTTTTCACGAGCACCGCACCGGCAGGACATAACCCTGAACCTCCGACCTTAAATAAACCTCATATATTTTTCTGTAGGAATTAATTATTCTCTTTCTAGTCAAATAATAAGCGCGCGTACACGCTCGCGCGTACACGCACGCACACACGCACGCGCACACACGCACACACTCACACACACACACACACTCACACACACACACACACACACACACACGTGCACCTGCATGCACGTGCATGCACGTGCATGGGACATAGGCCTAGTGAATGACATAAATGGTAGTAAGCTAAAAGAAATTCACTCACTTTTGGGAGCACGGGAATTTCAGAATTTCAACCGAATTCTTCCAACTTCTCCCC